CGCCACCCCCCCCCCCCCCAGCCAAAGCGAGCGAAGCGAGGCCCCAAGAAAAAAAAACCTACCCTTGGCTCAAGATCAATCAGAATCGCCCGCGGGATATACCTCGTATCGTCGCTCTGGTAGTAAAACACATCCTTGCGGTCGCCGCCCTCGGTCGCAAAGTCCTCCAAGTTGCCGTCCTGGCTAATGCCATGCTCCAGACACAGCTGCTGCCAGAACTGGCTGCCAACTAAGGGGCGAGTAAAACTCCAGTCAGCACCGGCCTCGATCTCCTGAAAAACCCACCAAGGTGTCGAGAGGGAACTTTGAAACGCAGGTCGGGAGATGGAAACGGATGGTGCATCGTGGCGTCACCGCCTCAGGCGGACGGAGCCGAAGGGAGAAAATTACGTACTGCTGTTGCCGCACTGTCCGGCCTGAATGGTAATAATTTCCCTACACGCGAGTTAGCTTAATACTGCAACGACCAGTAGGTTCCGGATGGAAGAGAACAAACCGTGGCATGGTGGCTGGCTGCACAAGAACGTTGCAAGCTCAAAGTTGCCCTGCGGTCGACCCAAAGCGCGACGACGCGACTGGCCTGGTCTGTCGTTCCTTCTGTGGGAGCAATTTTTTAATTTTTTTAGTCGTGGACATGGATGGGACCCCGCCCCCGCGTTTCACTACCATGTGCAGATACACCAGTCGACCTTGAAATGGATGGGCTCCGTACGACTAGTAGACACAAAGCTTCAAGCAGCAAATATTCCATTTTTCAGAAAATATACACTTCCAATACCATATACCACATCTTGAGAATCTCAAAGACAAATGTGATGATTACAATGCTCTAATGACGCCGGTGATTTGATGCTCCCTATACCTTACCTGTTTTTATGACCAATCCAACTGGCAATGTTGGCATGCGCCTTTCCTATGCTCAATGCTCGTCCTTTCTTCAGACCATATTAACTTAATTACTTTACTTCTTATTGGCTTCCTTGTTCTTCTCCAGCAACTCTGCCAGTTCCTTGGCAAGGTCCTTTGTCTTGACCTGAATCATCCAAGTCTCCAACCCATCTCCCTTCTCGTTTGACGTCGTCAGTTTGACATACTTCTCATCCGCCTTATATGTCAAGTTTGGCAGCAGTGCACGATTGAGAGCCACATGGCCACGCGGTTCGGCACGCAAGAGCAGTCGGACAAGCTTTGTCTCTTTATGCTGCAGCAGCCGCAGTTGTCCTACCCCCTGTGTGGACCAAGGACTCTTCGACTTGGGCTTATCCTCGTCCGACTTCTCAGATGCGGGAACAAACTTGAGAACCTTGGCTCGAACTTCATGACGTACTTCCTCGTCGTCGTTGACGCCATCCGTTAGGTTAATCTGCTCGTGTTCCCCACCATCTTCGTTGGTCGCTTCGCCATCTTTGGCTGTGTCTGCTTGCGTTGAGGGCTCCGGAGTCCCAGCAGCTGGCGTTGTGGCCAAGCTTGAGCCGCCCCCGAAATTCAACGGAGAGTCTATACCCGTCGCTTTAGCGGCGCAATTTTCCGGTTCGGAAAAGGAGACTTACTGGTTCCGGTGGTTGTAGATCCACCAGCTGGCGGCTGGAGGTTGAAGGCCGGGACAGCCTGGTTGGAACCAAACACGGAA